CGCTTCAATCTTTGGCTATGTCTTGGGCTACTCAAATATTTTACGTTTTTGATACTAAATTAACTTCTGAAGTATAATTTATTATTATTTTTATATTTTTCAATATATTTATTTTGTTTGTACAAAATAAAAAATGATTTTTAACAATTCAATAGTCTTCGTTAGGCTTAACATCGACAAAAATTCAATGCAAAGTGACACGCAACAGAGAAAAATGTCAAGATGGGATAAATTAATATATTTTTTCGTACATAATCGGTTATCCGGACAACCCCAGTCCCCAATTGATTCGGAAAATCGACGCTCTACTGTAATTTTGAAAAAGTAATTTATATCATCAATTTTTATACTTTTTGTTTTGTGGAGTAAATCAATTTGGCAAGTGAGCAGCTCATAAAACTGTACCTTTGTAGAGAAATCTGGTCAAACAAAATGATCTAATCATGAAGCTGTCCATGCCTTAATTACAACCCCTGGCAAAAAGTATTCAAACATGATATAAGATGACAACTGTTTTATTTGAACTCATTTACAAGAAAATAAAAATGTATAATTTAGTTTTAAACATTACATCTTATTCATTAAGTATCACTTATTTCAAATGAATAAACCAAAGTATTCCACCCCAAAAATTTTTTACATAAAGCAGTATTGGAAAAATTATTTAAATAATAAGAAAAATAAAAAGGATCACAAACAAACTAGAAGCTAATATTTTGTTGGTCCTTCTATAGATCTTATTAGCTTTTATGCATCTTGGCATTGTCAAAAATTAATTCATTGCCAGCTTCTGAAGTTATTTTACTCTAGCTAATTTTAATGGCTTCATCATCATTATTAATTCATGTTTTTTCATCAACCAGAAATTTCAAATTTTGCCATAACTTTTCCAGTAGAGCTTAAATTTGGGCTATTTGCAGACCAGGTTAATGTTTTAAGGCCTTTGCTTTAAAACATTAACCTGGTCTGCAAATAGCTTTAGATTTCACAACAACATGTGGCATTATCCTGAATATCATCATCAGAATCAACAAACTGATTCAATTGTTGGAATCAAAAACAATTCTAAAATCTTCTCTTGCACTTCTGCTCACAGCCTCATTAAGAATACATATACATATATTCCAGTGTATAAGACGACTTTTTAACCCAGGAAAATCTTCTCAAAAGTCAAGGGTCGTCTTATACACCTGGTGTCATTTTATAGGGCGAGTGCTGCAGTCGGCCGGGACGCCCGGGGTATGGATAGAGCGGCATTGTGCCCAGAAAAACACGCATCTTTCACCCATCCAGCCCGCCCTTGTATGTATCCTATTACTGTACCTCTTTCTCTGCCTCTCAGAACTTGCTCCTGAGGACTGCAGAGAAGCAGCGCAGGTGTACATGTGCGAGATCTGAGAGGCAGAGAAGGTACGGTAATAGGATACAAAGGCAAGCCAGTATGTTGTGATATCTCGCTTCAAAAATCGGGCTAGAATCAATCTTTTTCTCGAAATAAAAAAAAATTATTGGAAGAAAAGAATTGACAGCAAAAAAGATGCTCGCGATCAACGATAGTGATTATCACGAGTGTTTTTCTGCCGAATTTTTCCTACCCGAAAGGTCGCACGGAGTCCGAGATGCTGGAACTTTTTTGACTTTTGTTTCAGAGTAAACTCGGCGTGCAATAAAAACGTTATTTAATGCATTTTTCGCAGGTGGAAGAAATTGGAGAACTTATATTTTTTTGAAAAATTTTGGAAAAAATGCAGCAAAAAATCCACAAGAGAGCGTCTCAAAATCCACGTGATCGTAGAAGGGAAATAGGATACAAGGGCAGGCTGGTATAAAAATGTCCAACAGTCAAGTATATCCCGAACTCTATATTTTAACCGTAAAAGTCGGTCGTCTTATACACCAGAATATACGGTATTTCCAGATCAAATAGCTGACATGAAGCCCCAAAACATTAAAACTTTTGGAAAACTTAATATTCCTATACAAGCAGTCTTCCTTGCCTCATTTGCACTTCTCTTAACAAATTTCCCTGCATCCCCAAAACATACTGTATGACTTATCCGGAAAAAAAAATTTTTTTTCCAGTCTTCTACAGTCCAATTTTTGTGCTGTCTTGGCCATTTTAAACAATTGGTTTTTGTTTCTTAGTCAGGAAGAGTTTGGTTTTGGCTTTGAAAAATGAAAATTCCTTGTCATTTAGTCTATATCTCACTATTCATCACAAACAGTTGTTTTATTTTCCTCCATTCCACATTTAATTGCTTGGAAGATATTTTCCAATCAACATTTTTTTCATACGTGATTTTCAGCCTTGGTTTTTTAACACAACCGCTTCTGACGTGACTTTTTACATCTTTGTATCTTTAAACTTTTTCAAAATGTAATTTGCAGTTCCTAACAACACACACTGCAATGAGAATCTGATTTTTTCTCTTCTAGCAGCTTTATAATTTTTTTATATTGTTACTAAATTCTTTGATTGGGTCCATTGTTACAGCAAAGACAAATAAACTATCACTATTCACTTAGAATATGATGCAAACACCCTTAAAGCTAATGGTTTCTTTCATTCAAATTAGAATGCTCAAATATGTGAATTTAGAACAGTATTCAAGATCTTTTTTCGAATATTACTTTATGTAAAATGTTTTGGTTTATTTGTTTGAAACTAAACAATAACCCAACAATAAAAACATATTTTTGTTTTAAACATTACATTTTTATTTTCACATTAGTTGTAACTTGGTAAGAGATCTTTAAGATTTATTAAAACAATCAAAAATTACAAATTCTTGATTTAGATTTATGTCCAAGTTTGTTCTAATTGCAAATCTAGAATAATCAGAGTAAATTTTAATAAAAAAAATTAAAAGTATCAGTTTAAAAAAATCATAGGGAGAATTAAATAAAGGCTCATGTCAAATAGCATTGAAAGCACCAAAATAGCCAAATTTAGATTTTTATAATAAATTGTGCACTGAAATAGTGCAGTGAATATTATCTTTACTATTAAAAAAATCCAACTGGTTACCACGAGAAATGCTTCTGACTTATCAACTGCATGGAAAAACATTCAGGTGCATAAAAATGATGGATAAGCAGACCTTCACTCTCACACCTTTGGAGCTGCAAATAATACAAAATTTAGGAGAGCATCATTAGCTCTGAGAGGTGAATGGAAAAATGTTGCATGCATCATGCTGTGAATTTTGCAACATGGAGCACACAACGAAGAATGACAAAGGACCTCAACTCAGTATTTTAGAAAAATTTTTCATGGGGTCAAAGCATCTAAAAATTATCTCAATGATATGGGTTCAATTATGTCTGATGACCTTACAATCATTAGAATAAGACACTCCCATGATTTACAGCCATGAAATGCATTTTCCTTACTGCCATCAACAAGAAGTTGTGCACACAAGGACACTCTGAACTGCTTTAATGGCTTCCAAAACATCCATCTGTCATGTGCATACAATAGTACAAGGATGGTAAACCTTTTTGAGCCATATGGTGAGCATACTCAGCTTTAAAAATGATCATGCATGCCAAAGTTTTAGATGTCAAATAATATTTAAAGAAATTAAACAAACATGCTTTAATTAAAATAAATGTAAAAAACTGATTGGGTTGATTACGCGAAAAGATGATTAAAAAGACATATGATAAATTGAAATTGCACAATACGTTATTTGCCAGATGTGCCACTTTAGGAACACTTGCCATAGATTCACCACCCCTGAAATAGGCTGCTCCCAATGAAAAGTGCTGAATTTAAAAGTAACCTACATAACTAAACTATTATTAATTTCATAAAACAATACTGTAATACCTTGACTTACACAAACCCGGAGTTATGTGATTTTCAAATCTCATCAATTCATCTTTTGTTTAAGTGCCACGCAACTCTTGATTACTCGCTCCCCCCCACACCATTGTTCAACTTATATGTTCGGACATGTCGCGTGGAATCGACACATAGCTACAATTTATTTTTTGTTATTTTTTCTGTGTTTGTTATATCTACGGAGACTTGAGAGAATATGTGGTGATTTCTTGTAACCATGAACAAATCAAAAGACAAGATAAGATTAACGAGAACATTTATTAGCTTACACACATCCGACTTGGATTTTACACAAATTGGGAAATTATACCCCGACTTACGCAGTTATCGCTTGGTCCCACCTATCGCGTAAGTTCGGGGTATTACTGTATTAAAATGACTTTGAAACTTCAGAATACATTATATCTGATTTGTCAAGCTCTCTTGAAATTAAGTTAAATTTGATTAGTACAATTCATAATTGAAGGGCTTGGAGAAAAACAGTATATTTCTCATTAGAACAGTATATTCCTCATTTCAGTTCAACAGCACTTCAGCATGCAATGTTTTAGTAATGTGGGTGTGCAATCTGTAGGGCTTGCAACTAAACTGCAAAAGCATTTTAGAAAATAAATCAATGATACACAAATCCAAATTTGTTAACAGTATTTTATTTAATTTTGTGAGATTTACCATTTTTCCACTAAGCCACTCAAAGCATCATAACAAAAAGCAATAAAGTAGAGTCCTGAAAACTCAGCCTAATGTGGACTGAAGGGTGGCCAAGTTTGTGAAAATGCCGGGTTATCGGGAATGGGGTTTAAAAAGAATAAGTAACTGTACTGTACTTGTATGTATTGTTTGATTGAGAATACAACAGAGAATAAACTGCCCAAATACCCTTAAACAAAGGAAAAGTACATACTTTATGAAGGTAGAGCTTTTACTACATGAAAATGAAAATTAATGAATACACAGTGTACAGTAATTTACCTGATAAGACAGACCTCAGAAAAATACTTTATGAGGCATAAAGCTGTCTATAATGAAAATTAACTAGGGTTTTTTTTCGCCCTGCCAGAGTGTGGCCGAGTTATCCGGACTGCCGAGTTTTTGAGACTACTGTACTACAATTTTAAATTGTATGTTGTAAATAAATAAAATTAAAAGTTACCTCAATAATACCATCTGGATCCATTCCTGGTGGACTATCATATTCTCGATCTCTTCTATCTCTTTCTTCCGGCCCATTTCTGAAATTTAAAAACTTGACTTAATATTTTGTTCTTTACTATTATTATTAATCCATAATCACTTGCAATAATGGCAACTTTCCACACCTACTAGTTTTTTCCTCAAGCACTTTTATTATTATTTTTTTTTTATCAAACTGACTGACAGCTGTACTTCCACAATGTCCTCATACTACATGAGTAGAAAATCTGGTCAACAATTTTTCCTGCTTATTATAGATCTTCATCATGTACAATTTTTTTCATAAACACAATCACATGCATAAGTAGTTTTTCCACCCTGACATTATCAAAAATGATGACATGGCAGTATGCATTGGACACTAGGGCATACAGCAACTTAAAATATTTTTGTAACTATTTTAGCTAGAAGATACAGAAATGTCACTTTGATCTTTCTGTGAAAAACCTGTCTACTTGTCATTTGTTTCCACTGAACTTGTGCTGTTATTTGCTTATTTGTATTTATATTTAAAAAAACTAAACATTAAAGCATTAAAGTTAATAATAATAATAATAGTAATAATTGTAATGGGGGGAATGGCAGAGAGCTATCTGTTGCAAAAAATTTGATAAAAAATTAAAAAACTTAAAATATTTTATTTTAAATCTTGCCATCTCTATAATAATATCAGTATCTTTACACAAGGGCTGTTTTTTTTCAAGCTCCAATGGTTCTTAAAAAAAAACACACACACATACACACAACAACAAGTGAAAATAAAGTGAATTTATTACCAAAAGTTAGGTACAAACATGATTACTTTTTGACATAATCACTGTGAAGATTGAGAAATTTGTCATATCTGTAGANCATCTTCAAAAAAAAAAATGTACACTTCTAATCAATGGAAAAAAAGAAAGAAAGAAAAAAGTAAATTCTCAATCACAAATTCAAACAAACTCTTTTATTCAGGCAATCTCATACCACACTTTCCAAGGCTGTGCAACTATATATGCTGGGGCCGTATTCTGGTCATCGTCTCTCACAAGCCAGTCGCTGATTGGCTAATAATATGTTTACATCTAAAGAGATCACTGCATCTCTCCAAACGTGATTCTGGACAACTTTTTCTAGACGATTCTCTCATTTCTTACAATCAAGTGCATAGTTGTCTTTCGACAGTCTGTTCGTCTTTCACCTCAATTTTGTTATATCCAATATGGACGACTGGATGCTACTCGAACTGTACAATCATATTAGAGAACATTATTCTATCTCAGGAAAGTATATTTTGAGAGAGAAAATGTTTCCTTTATTTAAATATTGTAATTCTTTAACTAAAGCACTATTTTCGACTGTAATTGGAATTAAAGGATAGATTATGACGTCCGTGTTTCGCTCGAGCGGAAAGCGTTTCTAAACTATGATGCAGCGACTTGTAGCGATAGCTGCTCGTGACGTCATTTACGCTGCACTCTCGCTGCATAAAGAAACGCAGCCTTTTCCATCTCCTTGTCATAGAATGTTGATGCCAGTAAATTGAGATGGCCTTAACAATGTTGTTTTGAAGATCATCATTAGTTCATTAGTCTCAAACTTCTGCCCTGTTAGCCACGTTTTCAGTTCAGGAAAGAGGTGGAAGTCTTCACCACCTTTAAAACACCCAGCACATAGCCCCAAGCAATTTCCATCTCTTTCCTGAACAGAGTAAGTGTCTAGGAGGGCAGAGATTCAAGACTAATGAACTTAACAAAAAAAAGTTAGGGCCCGTCTCAATTCACTGGCAACAATATTCTATGACAAAGGGGAATGACAATGGAAAATACTCGTCCACAGATATGACAAATATCTCAATCTTCACAGTGATTATGTCGAAAAGTAATCAATGTTTGTATCTAACCTTTGATGATAAATTCATTTTATTTACACTTGTTCTTTTTTTTTATGGACCATTGGAGCTTGAAAAAAAAAAAACAGCCTATGTATTTAATAATACATGTCTTTAGTAGTAGTAAACGATAGTAGGACCCTACCATATATGGACTTGCCACATTTTCAGGTTTAAGCTATTGGCAATCCAGAAAAAGATGGAATATATATAAAACAAGTTAATTGCATGCTAAATCTGCACCATTTTTTAACCCTTTATAGCCCAAATTTTCATTTTTTGATAAAAAAATTTTTTTCTTATTATTATATCATCAGAAGAGATGTTTGTTCACAGATAAGTAAATAAAAAAAAATTAAAATGTAAATTAAAAATTTTTTAATTATGGGACTTAAAAGTCCCGTCAGGCTTTTAGAGTACATTTGGACTTAACAAGTTTTTTCTTGTTTAATATTTCGAAAATAAAATAACTTTGTTTTATATAAAGATCTTTTATCATAGATATTTGCAAATTAAATGCATAATTATATATATTAAGTATTTGTTAACTTTTACTGTATAATAAGGTCAAAATATGAAAAAAAATTAAAATGCATGACAAAACTAAAATAAAATTTATTGGTTTAATAATTTATGATTAGTAAAGATGTAAAAAGCTATTTTTT